TATACAGTTTACAGTCCTACTTCAGCTGAAAGTAAAAAGACTCGAATCGGACAGTTTTACCTCGACCATGGTTAACAAACCATATACATAGTTATATTACGAGTTACAGTCATTGCTTCATAACATAACTTAATTTTTTTTAAATCTAAAATTTTGTTCGAAATACCGAAATCGAAATAATGAAAAAATTGTTCGAAATCATCTTCACAATGTTTTTCCTTATAACTCCTTTATTCTGTACGATATTTTGAATAAAATGTTTGTAATTTCTAAATACTTTCTTACATTAAGGTTTATACTAAAAGTATTCAAATATTAATTTTATATGTATTATTGCTGGGTTTCTTGACAAATTACAAGTTACGGTTTAAGGACTTGAAAAGTACAAATACCTAAAGTTTGATGTGTTATCATCGCTTGTTTTTAAATAAGCGGGGTTTTTAACATAAACTTAAAAACCTGTCCTAACTCTTTTTGTAGTTAAAAATTCAGATTGTTTCATAAATATGCGAATTCTGGGTATTTCAAGAAGCTAATTTCTGTAAACAGACATTTTAAACTTATTTGATTTTTCTAGAACTTTCATTCAATTCAGTTCCTGTGAATAGTTATGAAAAAATATTTGTCAATTTTCACTCCCTTCAACCCTTGCAGGTTGAATTCTGTGGAAGTTGACCTTTTAAGGAATTGACTCCGCTGGGAATCCAAAACCTTAGAATCTATATATATATATATATTAGGATATTCAATTCTTTTATTCTGCAGTTCACACTAAACAATGGAAGGGTATTCACTCTACAATTTACAGTGTACCAAAATACAGTGCACAGAGTGTACCAATATACAGTGTACGGTACTGTACCAATATACAGTGTACAGTGTACCAATAAACAGTGTACAGTGCACCAATATACAGTGTACAGTGCATCAATATACAGTGTACAGTGAACCAATAGTGTACAGTGTGCCAATATACAGTGTACAGTGTACCAATATACAGTGTACAGTGCACCAATATACAGTGTACAGTGCATCAATATACACTTTACAGTACACCAATATACAATGTACAGTGCACTGATACATAGTGTACAGTGAACCAATATACAATGTACAGTGCACCAATATACACTGTACTGTGCACAGATATACGGTGTACAGTGCACCAATATACGGTGTACAGTGCACTAATATTCACTGTACAGTGCACGAATATTCACTGTACAGGATACCAATATACAGTGTATACACTGCACCCATATACTGTCTACCGTGCACCAATATACAGTGTAACTCCACCAATATACCGTGTGCATAGTGAGATAATATAAAAAGCACAGAGCATTAATTTTAGTGTACAATAAACACTGAACAGTACATCAATAAAAAAAGTACATCAATAAAAAAAGTACATAAATAAAAACAGTACATCAATAAAAATAGTACATTAATTAATTCATTTTGATAATTTTATCTTCTGAACTGTTACGGCATTGACAATATCTTTATAATTTCATTCTTGCTTTTTTCAGAAAATGGACAGATTAGCTGGATTATTTAAGGTATGATGCAAAAAATACATTTTATTTTGAATTTTTTTTTCAAGGATTAATCTGGATAATACACTTTCAGAAATGCAAAACAAAACTTCTCAGACCTTTCAAGCTCTTTAGACATATTTTTTATCTGTTTGACCTACTTTTTAAAAATTAATATTTGACCTATATCCGACTTTTTTTAAAAAATACTTTGTGTTAATGTTTTATGTATGTTTATTTAGAGATAATTTCTAATAAACAGGCGCGTTTTATATTGACATTGGATGTCATTGAAAACTCATTTTGTTAAATGAATTTTTAAGTTCAAAATTTTGATATTTTTCCTTTAACTTTTGCATTTTTTTTAGCATTACATTATTTCTGAAATCCCAACCATCATATTTTTAACTTTGACTGTATAAAATTTAAGATTTGCACATGATAGGATGATGTAAGCATGAAAACACTCAGTGTTCCCATGCTAGTCATGCACTGTCGGCTTAATATCAATGAGTAAACTCGTCTCTATACCGAATGCATGGATAGATATTGGATTCCATTGTTTGGAAGTACTTTCAATTCTATTCAATATTTTTGTTTGCCATCAAAGGCGCAACTGGGTATTTTTTAAGGTTAGGCGGGTGGATTTTGTTCGCCAAATAAAACAGTTTTTGGATGAAGATCTTTTTTCAAATCTTAACTTTGCGCTTTTTTAAGTTTAGTGTTCTATATTTTTGAAAAAGAACCCCTCACACCCGGCTTCATTCTCAACTTTCCCTTAAATAAATTGTCCACTATATTAGCTAACTACCCTACCCCTCCCCTCTCTTCCAACTATAAATATCCCCCTCTCTAGTTCATTTCCGGTCGAGTTCTTTAAGAAAATCATTGGAGGTTAATATGAACACATAGTAATTGAAGTGTATCGTAAAGATATTGATTAGATAGGTATATTAATATTTATCCTATCATTTATATAAAACATTAATTAATTAAGTATATGCATTGCACATTAAAAATACATTCATAAAACTCCTTTTTCCCAAAATTTTTATTTTCAATGATAAATTCTTTGAATATTTTCAAAAACATTTCGTAGATTTCTTTGGTTAAGTTTTCAAGTTTTCATTTTGTTTGGAGAGGAGGGGAAGGGGGGGTGTTTGCATTTTTGAGATTTTTTGCTACCACAGTTCAGTTAGTTATAATTACGTTAAATAACCAGCTTTGCTTAACATTAACAGATAGATAGATAATTATTATTATTTAAGGCGTGGTTGCTAGTATTCGCTGTTTTAGTCTTGCATTGTGCAAACGTGCATGCACGTTTCGAAAATGATAATTATGAATTCTATCAATGTTTAGCTCTGTGCGCCTGAGCAGTAGTCGGGGCGCGCGCACAGTCCTAGAATGGAAACGGGGGTTTACAAAAACAAGTTTGATAAAGTACAAAGTTAAAACCGGTAAATGCGCCGGCCGGTAGGGATTATACAAAATTTGATCTTTGTTTCATTTACTTAAATTATTTTTTTTCCACGCAGTTATTGTTTTTTAAAATTAGAAAGGCGGCGGAAAAGCCGAACCAGTTTAGTAAAAGGCTTTTGTAAGCTTGAGTAGACAAAAGTTTACATGGCTGGTTTCATATCTTTTCAGTTCAGTTTTAGGGATCATCGAGTAGTGCATCATCTGACCGCCATTTTAGGGCTTGTCATGTCTGGCAGTCAGGCAGACCCAGTTTAGTGCCAGAATTAGTACTGCAATTTCCGAACCAAGCAAAATAATCGGCAAGCTAACAAAGAATTTGCAAAAACCGCGAAAGTTCATTGTACCTTGCAAGTTTGGAATACGAATACATATTATCTTATCTACGCTATTATCTTTCAGAATACCTGGTAATATTTTTACACGTACAATTTTCCAAAAAAGTGAAATATAAAAATGTATAAAGAAAATGGCCGTTTTACACTTTTTTCTAGTAAATTCCTCTCTAATATATATTCTATTCTCTTTGGTAAGTGATGATACTGAAGATAGTACATAAATTGATAGCATGGTTATATAACACATCGGCATAGGGCTAATCAAGTACAATAGGGTACATGGAGTACAAGGAGTTCAGGGAGTGCAGGGAGTACAGGAAGTACAGGAAGTAAAGATTACAATTTCGGAAGTTGACTCCTAAATTACAGGAAACAAAAATAAAAAAATCATTATTTTCTATTTTCGTGAAATCATGAAAAAGTTACGGTATGAAATTAAACATAATTAAACAAGGGTGGAACTCTTTAAGGAAAACTTTTTTATTACAAATGTACGAACTTAAATTATTAAAAAAATAAATGAATATTAGTTTGTTAAAAACAAATTATGATGATAAGAATTATAAAATATTTCCATTGCTAGTATCATTATTACTTTCTTCAGACTGATTATATTATTATATCCTTGTAAAATCTTTTTAAAAAAATCTATATCGGCTCGCTTTGGAAACCCCCTTTTTTACTTTTTACCCTGTAATGCTTCATCCGAAATTCGCGAAGTATAAATAATGCTTCCTGTGATTATATCATAGATGAGTATAATATAATGGTGAAGGGGGGAAAAACAAGTTTGATAAAGCACAA